AAACCTTAACTATACTCTCGGATCACTATTGAGGAGCGTATATTAACGGTCTTAAACTCAGTGTCCGTTATCGGCTATTAACACACAATCACGCGATCGGATGACCGGAACCCTCTTGGGACCGTTGGCCAACCCAGTCAGTCGGTATCAGATAGTAACTATGCTTTTCCCAACTAAGTTAGCGAAAGCACATAAGTACTCGAGTAACCACTGCTATACATTCACACACACATTCACTCAAACAGCCGATAATTACAACAATCAACAAAACTAGTGCTATTGTCACGTAGACAGCAACTAGTGGATCACCTAGTAAATTGTATTTTAAGGTCAGACTATTAGTGTTAACTAACACTGAGAACCGACAAAACTACAACTGTTTCACTAAAACGAAGGACTATTGCCGAAAAATCGGGCAGAGCCTTCGGCGGCCTGGTACAATCTCGGGGATGTCGGAGACTTCCATATGACACATATAGTAGTCTATACCAACAATAACTAAGTATAGGTCAAAGGAGGTAAGGGAGGAGGACAGCGTAGCCGTACAGATCTCTCGACACGACAGATCCGATGGTCAACCATCAAAAGGTAGGTTAGGGTAGGATTACATAACTGGACCGGAACCCCCGACACGGCGGTTCCGTCCATTAGCTATATACGCGGGAAGGCTTGACAACATAACCGACCAGATCCCCCGACACGGCGGACCCGACGGCCAGTCATCTCACCTTAATGTAGATAAGAAGGGACCTTTACGATACTGGAGCTCCCGACGCGGGAACCCACGGATTTAGGTCGCTTAGAAAAGTAGAAGACAATAAAAGGTAAAAAACTCACATTGAAATCCAAAGGCTTTATTGAAAAGACATCATAAGTGTATACATCCAAGTATACGGACCATATCAGAGAAGGGGTCGAACCAGAGGGGAAGAGAACTGATCTGCTAAAGGCTCTTAGCAGTACTAGTCTTATGCCGAGTGACTACCAGTATCTCAATGATAAAAACATTGAGAATACACGGGGTTTTATAGTCTCGGTCGCATCAATGTATTTTTTTAAAGGGAGGTAAGGAATAATTTTGTGATGTGTTGGTGCGAAAACTGTTTCAATATAGCACTATTTATGCTATGTTATGTAATGACATATATATAAAATTGGTAATTCTGGCACTGAATAGGGAAAATATTATATAGATTTATACTATGGTTGGGGAGAAAAAGTTGGATTTTTCGTTATACTAAAATGTTATATGTAGTATATTGTGTACAATATGATTGTACAATAAAAAAAATTTCTTTGTGAGTGTTTTTTATATATATATATATATAAAGGGTATTATATAATAGATTTTATATTGACAGTATTTATTATATATTTTTTATTAATTACATACTGTATAACTATTGTACATTTAGTACTATGTTTACATTTAAAAAATATTTAAAAAATAAATAATAATAAAAGTAATAGTATTATTTAAAATTTAATTAAAAAATACTTATAATAGTATAGTTATAGAAGTACTAAATAAATAAATTTTATATATTATTTACATTATTCATATGGCTTTTACTGTTTAGTTTAAAATTAACAATACATAGTAATAATAATAATTACTATTATTTTGTAAATTAATATTTATTTTATTGTTATTTATTGAATAAAAATTGTTATAAAATTTTATTTATTTATTATATAAATAGATAAATGTTTTTTAAAAAATTTGTTTTTATAAATATAATTAATATTTTATTATATTTCATGTATATTATGTGTTATTATGTTTTGTAATATAAAAATAACAATCAAATACTACTATACTATTAATTATTGAACATTTTATACTGTATATGATATTTAAAAAAATGTTTTTATTATTCATTTATGTATTTATAATAAGTATATAAAGTATAGGTTTAGTGAAAATACAAATGTATTTTTTTATAAATATTTATTTACATAATACTGTATATCGATTAAAATTATACTTTAATAAAATTTACTAAATTTTTCACATATATTATAGTTATTTAAATTTTTAATAAAAATAAGAAGAAAAAATTTGTAAAAATATGTTTGTAATAACAATAGCTAATAATAATAATAATAATTATTATTTGTAATATGATATCCAAAAATAAATGTTGCCAGTACAGTTAAAATATTTTAGCCCATAGTTTTTAGACCATTGTATTTACGACAATTTTTTTAGTTAGACTGTAATAAAAAATAAAAGTTATATAATATTATAGGATTAAAAATATTAAATAAAATAAAAATATAAAGTATTATATACAGTATACTTTATTACCTTGCTAAATAAAATGTAATCAATTTTATTATGCAATAAAATAAATAGTTTTATCACTTTATTAAATACTGTACTTTATATAATTAATGTTTTTTTTATTAATATTTATAATAAATGTTTTTATAATATAAATATTTATTTATAAATATATTGATTTCAATGATATGTAATTTTTATATTTTAGTGTATACAACCAAATATATATATATATATAAGTTATATAATATAACTCAAAATTTAAGTAAATAAATAATTATATTTTGAAAAAATATACATTAAAAATACTATACTTGTTTTATAACTACTACTACTGTACTCAAAATTTAATAACAAAAACAATTATTCAAACATTTGTTTGTATAAGTATTACACTATAGGATAGTATTAGTGATAAACATGTTATTAGTGTTTGTTTATTGATTGCATACAAACTGTTAGACGTAAAACACATATCACTGGACATTAATTTCAATGACAATATAATTGTTAAATTTATATTATTAACATTAGCATTTTTATTATTATTATTATTATTATTATCTAGCTTAAATCTATTTTCTATACTAGCAATTAGTAATTGATAAGCATTGGGTATAATATTGCACGTATATAYTAAATAGATAAACTGTACTATACTATCAAATAAACTACCCAGGGTGTATGGTTGATTTTGAGTATTACCAAAATACAATTTATTTAAATCGGTAATTAATCTGATAGTCAATATAATGACAACTAGAAAATTATGTAACGCTAACAAACTATCTAAACGGTTGACATAGATTTTTAGTGAAACACAATATTGATAAACATATTGTAGGGAAAATTTATCCAAATTGTTGGCCAAATATTTCAATTGTTGGGCAATTATTGATGATTTATAGGCAATAAGTGCAGTAAATATTAGTAACATATTGCCAGCAAACCAAAACAATGGCAATATTATCCAATAATATTTTGATATATCATGATTGACAAACAAATAAATTGTAATCATATAGTTTAGTTGAATACTAGTTGACAATATAAGGGTAATAACTGTTACAGTAATACCAGTACGTCTCTCGCGCTTATCCGACACGTATTGATTGTCGCGTCCGACTAATAACTGGTCGACAATTTGCCGGCCATTGACTACTAGTGTACAATAGGTAGATAATAGCTGTACTATAGCACCCAATGAGGCACAGGTATGCAATAGTCTTAATAATTGTGATTTTGTTGACCGAAATTTAAATATTTCAAAATAAAATAAACTGATTGACAAATCATTATACAATAAATATGTTATAAAACCTATGACCAGTAGATTTGTTAAAAATTTTATAATGATTTTCAAGTTTATTCTAAATTTTTGGTTAGTATTATAATTATAATTATTATTATTAATATGATATCCTAAATAAATGTTGCCAGTATAGTTGATGTATTTAAGCAATATTTTTAACCCATTATTATTTTTATACATTTTTTTTGTTAAAAAATAAGTTAAACTCACCTTACAATTCAATACTTAAAAACTATAATAAAATAAATGCATACTATAATAGAAAATACAGTTTTTAGATGTAAATGTATTAAAATGTATTATTTTGTAATAAATATTTATTTACAAATGTTTATTGATTAGAAAAACCTATTATTTTTTAGTAAAATAATAATAAAAATCAATATATTATAGTAATAACACTACTAAATATACAGATTTAACATTTACAGTAACATTTGAGTTGCAAATAAAAAAATTAAAAAAATATATTAATACAAAATAAACTCAGTTTATAGATATTATTTAAGTAAAGATTTTAGCATAGTTTTTTATGACTATATTTTATTCATTTAAAATCATAAATTATTTATAATAAAAAATCAATATTTAAATATATATATATATATTGTTTATAATTTAATAATTAAATATAATTATAGGTAATAATTACTTATACTTAAATATTGTAAATTAATAATTATTTGTTATTATTATTATTACTACTACTACTCAAATAAATTATAATATTTAATCAACATTTAGCTTAATTTAAAAAGTATTAATTCAACCTTATTTTTTTCTATCTTCTTTTTAAGATATAATAATTTTTATGCTAATTTCATATAATTTATTTTTGATGATTAATTTCAATCCAAGAATTAAATATTAAGTTTAAAATTTATGTACTTTTGCCGCCATATTATATATATATGTTCCTAAAGATATAAATTTTTTAATACTAATCCATATATTTTATTTTTTTTTGAAGCTTTATTAAAATTTATAYTTTRAAAATATWATWTTTTTTATACGCCATWTRACGCACATATAATATAAAAATATAAATTATTTMTTAATTTTTATTATAATTTATAGTACAAAATAACAGTAATTAGAAATTATAGATAAATTATTAAATTATAGCTACAAAAAAAAGTTAATAAATAAACTGTAAAAATATATATTATTAATTAATTTTCTTATAGAAAAACTATTTTTATTGTTAAATTTATTATTATATTAATAATATTAGATATTATATACACTATCATTAAATATACGATATTATGTAATAGTAGAAATTATTTATGTATTAGTAAAAAAGTTAATTAAATAAAATGTAATTTATATTATTATTATTATAATTTAAAAAAAACTGATTAATAAATGTATTGCAAAAAAGTGACAAACAATTGTCTAAAACTCATTAGTCTTAACTTTCTGATGGTTGTCGACCTTCACTATCATTTAGACACCAATTCTAAACAAATAACAAAACAATAAATTTATTATTTTTTTAATTTRTAAAAAATGAATCCGTTAGAAGTGTTAACAAACATTTAAAATGTTTAAGCTTTCGGTGAATCAGTTTCTTGTGTCGACTCAATGTTTCTTTGTTTTTAAACCAATCGTCGCTGTCATCCCAGTCATCGCAGACATCTCGCCGATTGTTTAAGTGAACGGCTGTCTGATGTTTACGCATATTGTCTTTGCGTTTGAACGACTGGTTGCAGTCGTCATAATTGCATACAAATGGCCGTTCAGTCGAGTGAACATCTTTTTGGTGTCGATTGAGTGTCTGTTTGCGACTAAACGATTGATCGCAGTCATCGTAATTGCAAACAAATTGCCGATCAGTCGAGTGAATGGATAACTGGTGTTCGCGTAGTTTGTCTTTGCGTTTAAATGATTTGTCGCAGTTCTTGTAATTGCATACATGTGGCCGATTGGCTGAATGAATCAGCTTATGTTGAGTGATATGCCATTTGGACCAACTCTTGAAGTGACAACAATCGCAAGCAAAAGCTTTAGTCACATGTTTTTGTGCCAAATGATTGAGTAGTGATATGTTGTTAAAGAAACCATTTTTGCATTTATCACATCTGAATGGTCGGCATTTCAGGTGACAACTATTCATATGGTATTCAAACCAGGACTCTGTCGAAAATAATCGGTCGCATTGACCACATTTGAAACGATCGGTGCTTTTAGTTTTGACTTCAGACTCGTTTAGACGACTATTGTCGACAGTATTTGATTCATTGATTGGCATTTTCAGAGGACTCAAGACAACAACGGGTTGTCTTTTAAATGCAAGTCTTTCCAAAGCAAATTCACTATCACTTGATGTCACTGTTGAGGTAAACATATTRTTACTAAAAAACAATATAAAGTCATCATTAGATGTGAATAAAATTGTTTACCACTGTCCACATYACTAWTGTTATCCGAAATTGTCTGCATATTGTCGTTCAAATTGATTAACTCTTAGTGATTGATAGTTTCGGAGTCATTTCTTGTTTGTCACTGTCGTAGTCATCATCGGTAGTAATATCTGGAAGTTTGATCAACGCTTGTCTCAATAGTAATTTCTGTCCAATGGATATATTTGGCGGCAAAATATGCCAATCTTTGTCTATATTTATGGCCCGCAATGTGTGCACCGAATCGAAACCATTTTGGACCAGAATGTCAATCGTGTCGTCACTAATACCAGCAAAACGAGACAAATATCGGCGACAATAAGTTTTCTGTAAATACATTGTCGACTGAGACGATGACATATTATATAGTGATATACAGTAATATATATATATATATATATATATATATTGTTTGCGAAAGTAATGATATATTTTTTTAACAAAATTATCTAATATTATATATAAATTTTTTCAGAAAAAAAAGTTTATGTTTACAAATAAAAGACTAACAAACAGTTAAAGTGAAAGTTTAAATGTTTCCAAAATAAACTCATTTATTAATAATAATAATATTGAATTGAAAATAATATTAATATTAGTTCAGTATCTTATCAATCATTGAAACTTAATATGTTTGCTGTATATCAAACATTATATTATATCATAATTTTAATATGTTTAACATATAAATTTATTAGCTTATGCAGCATAAAATATGCTTAAAATTGAAAAAAAAATTAATAGTAGTAGTAAAGTAAACAATAATTTTAGAGTAATTAACAAATATTTTCCTAACATTTAATACAAATTAAATAGTTTTTAGATATTCACGAATTCCTGAAAGGAATACGTATATGCATTCTAAAAGTCTGTCCGTCTGTCTGTCTGTCCGTCTGTCTGTCCGTCTGTCTGTCCGTCTGTCTGTCTGTCTGTCCGTCTGTCTGTCCGTCTGTCTGTCCCACATAGATTAGTGGTTCGAATCCAGACTCTGCTACAAATTTTTTTTTGATTTTTTTTGATTTTATTTTTTTATAAAGCATAAAAATGAGCTATGGGATAAGTATTGAAATTTTGATATTTCATCAGGAACATAGAGAAAATGGCGTCTAAAAATTAAAAAAATTTTTGTTTTTGTTTTTTTCACGAATTCCTGAAAGGAATACGTATATGCATTCTAAAAGTCTGTCCGTCTGTCCGTCTGTCCGTCTGTCTGTCTGTCCCACGAGGACATAGGTTCGAATCCAGGCTCAGCTACAAAATTTTTTTTGATTTTTTTTGGTTTTTTTCTTTTTTAAGTTAAGGAGATCGTATGAGAATGCTTTTGAAGCATTCTCAACTTGTTTTTTTATTTTTTAAAATTTTTTTTCCTTTTTAAGTTAAGGAATTCGTGTGGAAATGCTTTTAAAGCATTCTCAGCTGGTTTTTTTATTGATTAAACCCATAATTTAGTCGCCAAAGTTAATGATAGCACTGACCATTAAATTTCACTATTTTATACTATTAAACAATTAATTGTTAGTAATTTAAATACAATAGTAGTTATTAATAAATAAAATGCATATAAATATGAAGATCAAGTCTATTGAAAGAAGTTTATTGTGAAGACAAAAGTCGTCCGTCAAAGATATTGATCCTAAGATTACTTTTGATTGAATATTTAAGTCAAATATAATTTTTTTTATATTTATTACATTTATATTAAATCAATTTTTCGTTTTTATGTAAATCAACTAACAGTTTGTTGAAACAAATTTTTTTTTATAATTAATAAACAATTTTTTATAATTAATTTAAATATTTAATATTATCGGTTGGTCTCTAATATTTTACTACCGAATTAAAGTTTGGAAATTCAAAAAAAACAAAAATTATATAATAATAAACATTTTTGAATAAATATTTAGTAATTTTAATTATTTACGCTTTTGATCTATAATCTGAAGCATCTTTTTTTTATCTTTAAGATTAATTCGTCGCCGATGACTGGCTAATGGACTTTGCGGACGAATTGCTGATGGATTTTGCAGAGGAATGGCTGGTAGTCTTAGCAGAGAAAGGACTGATGGACTTAGCAGAGGAATGACTGGTCGACTTTGCAGAGGAAGGACTGGTCGACTTTGCAGAGGAATGACTGGTCGACTTTGCAGATGAATGGCTGATAAACTTTGCAGATGACTGTCTGCTAATGGACTTAGCGGATGAGGCAATGACTTTGACGGCGATCTAATGGGTGGATCCGAACCTCTCTCACTGTTGTCCATACATTGAGAAAATGGTCTAAAAATTTCTGAATTGCGTTCTTTGCGTTTATTGCGTTCATTTCCACTGTTCACTGATTGTTGTCTTTTCCTTGATTTAGTCATTGTTTCATCCATTGGACGATCACTTGTGTCACTCATTTGCATGAGTCTACGAGATCTGTTAGGTCCAGCATTTGTCAGTCGCGATGGTCGTGAAGAAGGCCTTCGCTTCATTGGATTTGTCTGATACGACCGTATATTCTTCGTATTCAAATAACCTCTTCTTTTCATTTTTGTTTTGTTTTCTCTTTAATTACAACTTTTGATTCTTCAACTGTTTGATAATAAAACTGATTTTGATTTATAATTTTTAAAAATAGTTTTGAGAAAATACTAAACTATTTTAATCTAATTACGTTAATTAAGTCAATTAAATACTGTAATATTCATCAAATTTTGATTACATAAATCAATTATAATTTATAACATGCCCGACAATAAAAAACATATATGTAGTAAACTATGAAAAAATGTATATACAGTATATACCGGTATATAAAGTTAATTTTATTTAAACTTGTACATTTTAAACTTTACAGTTTACGCTTTAAAGTATCCTGGTTAAAGTTGTGTTAAAGTTTAATCTATGATATTATTAAATGTGTGTGTGTGTGTGTGTGTGTGTGTGTGTGTGTGTGTGTGTGTGTGTGTGTGTGTGTGTGTGTGTGTGTGTGTGTGTGTGTGTGTGTGTGTGTGTGTGTGTGTGTGTGTGTGTGTGTGTGTGTGTGTGTATGTATGTRTGTATGTAAGTTTGTGTCACCTTATAACTAATATTTAGACTAATAAGTATTTAGAAAAAACAAAACAATTTTATATTATAATTATTTTTTAAAATTTTCATTTAATATTTTTTTTWWAAACTTTTTTCTCAGTATTCAAAATTATTTGTTTAAAACTAAAACTAATTATTTTTTAAATCATAGCATATATGTGATGAACAGTTGGTTAAGTGATGGACCGATACTTTGTTGTCGGGGATTAAGTTATTAGTCAAAGAATCGGATCCTTATTTATAATATTTCTCTTTCTTCTAAATCAATCAAACAGTCATTTTATTGTTGTTTGTTTCGGTACTTTCATTGGACAATACGATTATATTATTTTTAAAAAATCAGTGAGTTTTACAAACATTTTTTAGATATTTTAAAAAAATTGTAGTAATTTTTGTGAACACGTTTCTGGTGTTCAGTCATTGCGTCTTTGCGTTTGAAAGATTTGATACAGTTTTCAAAGTTGCAAACAAATGGCCGATCAGTCGAGTGAATCACTTTCTGGTGTTCAGTCAATGAATATTTGCGTTTAAACGACTTATCGCAGTCATCATAATTGCAAACAAACGGCCGATCAGTCGAGTGAACCACTTTCTGGTGTCGATTCAGTGTTAGTTTGTTTTTGAACAATTTGTTGCAGTCATCATAATTGCAGACAATTCGCCGATTAGTCGAGTGAACAGTTGACTGATGTCCACTCAGAGTGTCTTTACGTTTGAATGATTGATTGCAGTTCTTGTAATTGCAGACAAACGGCCTATTGTTTGAGTGAATSAGTTTATGCTGAAACAGTAGCCATTTAGTACAGGTCTTGAAATGGCATTTATCGCAAGCAAACGATTTAATTTGATGTTTTTGTGCCAAATGATTGAGTAGTGATATGTTGGCGAAGAAACCTTTTGCACATTTATAACATCTGAATGGTTGACATTTCAAGTGACGTCTATTTACATGAATTTCAAGATTTCTCGCCGAAGAGAAATACCGATTGCATTCAACACATTTGAATGAATCGTTGTTTTTAGTTTCGACTTCAGACCAATTTTCATGACCAATATTATCGGCGACCGAAGTATTTGATTCATTTATCGGCATTTTTAGCTGACTTACGACAACAACGGGTTGTGTTTGCAATGCAAGTCTTTTCAACTCTAATTCACTGTCCATTGATTTTACTGTTGACGACATTATAACATATTATAACAATAAGTACAACAACAACAACAACAACAACAACAACATAAAAAATATGATAACAAATTGATTACCACTGTCCACATCAAACTCGTTATACGGGTTASTATAGTCATCGGAAACTCTATCATCTATATTKTCGTCCGAATTGATGAGAYCATTATAGTCATCATCGGTAATATCTGCGAGTTTGGCCAATGCCTGTCTTAATAGTAATTTCTGACCAAACGATATTTGTTTTGGCATAAGATGCCAGTCTGTGTCCATATCGATGGCCCGCAATGTGTGCACTGAGTCTAAGCCATTGCGGACCATAATGTCAATCGTATCGGTACTGATACCGACAAATCGAGACAAATATCGGTAACAAAATGTTTGCCTCAAATAATTAATTGTAGGCGACAATGACAGCGACATCGATGACCTGATTCAGTGRTTATTGTGGGTCTGATAGTAATAATATGTTTATAACAATCAAATTGGTAACAATCAGWGCTAATAAAATTAGATACAAWAATACACTTTTAGTAAGTTTTCTTTTAAAATATTTAATATATAATTATTACAWAATTTCTAGATTTACAAAATTTATTAACAAACAGGTAATGAATGTCTAAAACTTATAGACAAAAAAAGTTTTTGTGACTTTGTTTCAATGTTTTTATATACTGTACATAAAAATCATATTATAATTTAAATATCTCTTATAAATTTTGTTTGAAATTTAATGTTTTTTTACGGTAATTAAATTAATAATAATAACTGAAAAAATATGTTTACTGTATAATATCATCTAAATGTTTAGGAAATAAATATGTTTTATATTGAAATTTTTTTAAACATATAATAATTATTAACAAATATTTGTAATAAGAAACTTWATACCTTTTTACCATATTTTGCATATACTAAATTATATTATAATATTATTACATTTATTATCCATTAATTAATTTTAAAAACATATTTATGATTTCAATTTATACTTTAGACTCTTTAGTTAATATTGATCAGTAGATACACTATTAAGCAATTAATGGTAACACAAATTAAAAAAATTATATTTATTTTAGTTTTTATGTATTAATGGGCTATAAAAAATATATTGTTGAAATTTTATACTTTAAAAATGTTATATATATATATATATATATATATTATAAACAATAGATTAATACTGTAATACATTCAAAAATATTTAAAAATAAAATTAAATGCAAATATTATGTCCTGTAATCAATAGTTGTTATTTAAATCATTTAAAAATATAATTCAATTTATAATTAGATTTGAAAAATTATTATTATTATTAAATTGCTCAAAAACCAGATAGTTTGTACACTTATAGTCTATAAGTTATAGATGTATAAAAAAAGTCAATGATTTATTATCCAATTTTTTTCAAAACAAAAAAAACAGATGAGTTATTAATAATKTAATGATTAAATTGACTAACTTTATTATTAAACAAAAAAAATATAGAAAAAATTATATATAAAAACTATTCTCTAYTWAAAACTTTAAAAATAGATAAAACAATTAAAAAAATTCATTYAATTATGTAGTAATAAATTTCAGTAATTTATTCTATAATAGTTATAAAATTATTACAATATTATTATTATTATATTAATTATTTTAAGCATTAGTCGCTAAAATACTATAAGCGTTAGCTGTTTTCTGGCCTTCAATAGCCACATAGACTTTACCGTTAGTATGGACGGGTATGTTAATATTGTCAGTAAATTGGCCGTCTAAATGTGCCGACGATGGATGTATAGTACTGTATGCATAATAACCAATTAGTTTGCCAGTAGTTGTCTGTASGGATAGGCTRATRCCGTTACCAGTTGTCGGTAAATCCAATTCATAGTATCGTTTTTCCGCTTTAATACTCGTATCGTAAAAAATATCGCCAATTTTCAATAACAAYGGTTCAGCGCAAACAGCTTTTTTGAAATCATATAAAAAGCTAAGCATTGAACTGAATTTTGTTAATTGTTTGACATTTTCCGGTAAATTGTAGGCTATTTCAATCAGTTCGGTAACTTTAACACCAGAGCCGACACCCCAGACCCAACTTCTGATATTTTCTGTCTGAGCATTGCCTACAGCCGGCTGAACACCGGGCGGATAGTTAGACTCGCCGTCWGTCAACACAAACATTGTCTTATAGGGAAAAGTTTTCGACGCCTTCATAATGTCGACGGTTCGCTGAATACCGTCCCGAGTGTTGGTCATACCTCTCGGATGTATTAGATTTTTTATTTTYTCCAATCTCTTTGATTTATCTGATTCTTGAAAATCAAATACCGTTTCAACAGTAGTTGAAAATACTACTAAACAAAATTGACCGTTTTGTGAACTAAGTTTTTCGGTAACCTTATAGAGAAACTCTTTAGCCATTTCAAAATCGTTGGGATAAATACTATTGGATCCGTCCAATACATAACATAGATTAATATGTGGCGTACATTCAAATAGATCTTCAATTTTGTAGACATCCCGGACAAATTGTTGAACATCATCGACAGTAGCAYCGGTTGAATAATGTTGTTTCCAATACTGAGCCTGGTCCTCTACTGTTTCGGGTATAGGCTGTCCGGTTAAATTCAAAAACATTTTAGCAGCCAATGCCGCGTACATTGGTTTTTGCATATCGTCTAAATCCATTGATTGCCAATCGATATCATATTTATCGGCCAATTCATAGTAAATCTTAAACAATTCCGGATGTTTGACAATGTCTTGTGTTTCATCAAATTTTTCCTCATCTATTGACCATATATTTTGCTGATCAGTGTTTTTCWTGCTATTATTATTRTTAGCAAATGTATGTGCATTTTGACCGAAATTACTTTCAACTAATGCCAGTCTAAATAGAAAACCTAAGTCATCGGCAAACAATTTGATCTGGTTCACTTTGCCAATACTAGCATCCACTACATCCTGGCCAATTGATCCGGGTACCATGGTTAAATCTAATGGATCACAATATGTTATACTTATATAAAATAAATTGATAAATATTATTAGCAAAAATAATGAATTCATTTTTTTTTTAATTATTTTTTTTGTAATATAATTTTATTTTTCTATTTAAAGTATCTATAATAGACTAATTATTTGAATGATTTAATTGAATCATTCATAAATTGAATCATTTAAATGATGTTTGAAATTAATTATAATAAAAGTTTATATATATATATTCWAAACAATAGTGATCTGAYCTTTGCATTCAATTAACATATAATAAACTTATWATTAATTAATAAAAATTTTATTTGTTWTTATTATAACAWACATAAAATAATAAATATATATATATATTTATAACTTAAATCTATTAAATTATCAAATTTTATTYTTTCGTCTATAATAATAAAAACTTATCAATTTTTTTAATGAAATAAAAAATTAATATAAGATAAATATTGATTACAACATTTTATATAATAGTATTATTGCTATCTATAAAAATTTATTATTTTATGTATTTTAGTCACAAAAAAATATTATATTATATTAAAAACTTTTAGTCTATATTATTATTATTATTATTATTACTGACTTTTATTATAAAGTATTTCGTTATCACTATTTATTTAATTCGGCTGTTATTTCAAAAGAAATTGAGTTTTTATTATATAAAAATAAAATTAAAAGTGAAATTATTAAATATATTATTAAAATTAAACAACTATAAAAATTTTTAGATAAAAACATTTATTATTATTAATAATAAGATAAATTGCAAAACTTTGTACTAATTTTGCATTTCATTGTTTTTGAAAAAATATTGTACAATAATAATTTAATAATTAATTTAGTAGTAAACACTAAAAAAATCTTTAAATTTATATAAAATATATTATTATTTTATAAATAMTATTTCAGTAATAGATTTTTATTATTTTATATATTACTTTATTTTATTTTGATAATTATAATAAAAAACTGTTTATTATTTTTAGTAAAAATTTATATTATAAAATGCGAAATTATCTATGTATCAAAATKTTGCAATTTAACTTATTAACTATAAATAAATATTATAAATTTAATTATTTTAAGTTTTTATATTTTAATTAATATAAATTTTATGAGTAAGTTTGTATGATTAAGTTTTATTGACTTTTTAAAAAATTTAATTTTAAATATTTCATTATTAAAATTTAATTGTGTAAAATAAAATGCAATTACCATACAAATAATTTTAATTATTAAATATTTAATGTTTTGTCAACTATTTTGTGAATCTGTTTGTGATGTACTGACAAATTTTGTTTGTATTTGTAAGACTTGTTGCAGTTATCGTAATTGCAGACAAATGGCCGACGGGTTGAGTGTTTGACTTTATGTTGAATAAGTAGACCTTTAGACCGTCCCTTGAAATTGCATTCATTGCAAGCAAACGGTTTGATTAAATGTTTTTCGGCCAAATGATTCAGTAGTGATAAGTTGGTTAAGAATCCTTTTCGGCATTTATTACATCTGAATGGACGACATTTCAGATGACAACTATTCACATGAATTTCAAGTTTCAATTCCGATGATAAATACCGATCGCATTCAACACATTTGAAACAATCGTTGTTTTTAGTTTCGACTTCAGACCCATTTAGACGACTATTACTGATAGTCTTTGATTTATTGTTTGGCATTTTTAGCCGATTTATGACTACAACGGGTTGTATTTGTAATGCAAGTCTTTTCAATTCAAATTCATTGATAATTGACGGAAATGTTAAGTCATCATTGATTTGATACAATTGATTATCACTGTCCACTTCATTATCGCTATACAACATATCATTGTTATCCGAAACTGTGTCCATATTATTGTCCAAATTGATAAAAACCTGACTGTTAGGAACCAGAGGTTTTGGTGTAATTATTTGTTTGCTATCCTCTAAGTCATCATCAGTAATATCTTGCAGTTTGGTTAATGCCTGTCGTAATAATAATTTCTGACCAATAGATATCTGTGTCGGCAACAGATGCCAATCTTCGTCTATATTTATGGCCCGCAATGTATGCACCGAATCGAAACCATTTCGCAACATAATGTCAATCGTGTCGGCAGTGATACCAACAAATTGTGACAAATATCGGTAACAAAAAGTTTGCCACAAATACGGCGACATCAATGATAAGTTATTCAATGATATTATGGGTCTTTATAAGTGATGAYTAGTGATTAGCAATTAAATTGGTAACAATATGTGCACACAAACAAATAAACAAAAAAGTTATATTATAAATAACATTAAATAAAATTTTATCAAAAAAAAAATATTTAAATATTCAATAATAATAAATATTCAACACATATTTAAACAAAAATAACTAACAAATACACATGTATATAACAATGTATCATTAAAACCTGTAATAAAATTAACTATATTTATATATATATATATATATATACAGTATTATAGGATTTTCACTACATTCAAGGTATTATCCATTAAATACTTGTATTAATAGATTTATTTTTAAAAGTTTTAATTCTATTTATAGACACTGATAATACAATATATAATATTTCATACCTGTGCTAATGTAATGTATTTTTAGGTATAATTATAATAAACATTTACATTCAAATCAAATTTATTCAAATYTATTAAATCCTTAATCCGTGTACTTTAACTAAAATCACATTTCAAACAAATAAAAAACAATATATATATATATATTTGTATATATTCTAGTATTACCTCCTATTGTAACACAAACCAAACATTTTTTATCGCATAATATTTGTTGAAAAAACACACACACAATAGTATTTTTAATAATGTATTAATAAATTATACAGTATATTGAGTGATACTTTTACTAAAAAGTATTATTAAATTTATTTAATTATCATATAAATTTATTTACCGTTATATTTATTTTTAAAAATAATTTGATTGTAATATAAAAAATATTTTTTTTAAAAAAGTCAGTTAAAAATCAGTTAAAATTGAACTGCAATTATTGGATAACGATTTTATAATCAATTGATTGCACTGAGAATATACAACAAACAAATGACAATATATTTTTAAAAAATCAGTGATATAGACAATTGATACTACAATTTATTACAATTACAAATGTTATTATAATTTAAATAAAAATCAAAACTATAAGTCAATCAGTAATTTGTGTGCAAACATTTGGACGACAACTTCAACTATCGGCTAACTATTGGTGAATCTGTTTCCTGTGTTCAACCAATTGTTGTTTGAATTTATAGGATTTATCGCAGTTATTGTAATTGCATACAAACGGTCGATCAGATGAGTGATGAACACATTTCTGGTGTCCGATTAGAGTTTGTTTTTCTTTGAACGATTTGTCGCAGCCTTTGTATTGGCAAACAAATGGCCAATCAGTTGACTGATCCTCTTTCTGATGTCTAATTAGTTTTTCTTTTTGCTTAAATATCCGATTAGTCGAGTGAACCGTTTTCTGATGATAACGCAAATACTCTTTGGTTTTGTACGACTGATTGCATTCATCGTAAGTGCATATAAATTGTCTGTCAGTCGAGTGAATATATTTTAGGTGATAAAGCATATAATATTTGCGTTTAAACGATTTGTTGCAGTCGTCGTAATTGCAGACAAATGGTCTATCGGAAGAGTGGACATGTTTTTGGTGTTCATTAATATCTCCTCTGCGTTTAAACGATTTGTTGCAGTCATCGTAATTGCAAACAAATGGCCGATCAGTCGAGTGAACATTTTTGAGATGTCGACGCATTATATATTTATTTTTGAACGATTGATTACAGTCTTTGTAATGGCAGATAACTCGCCCATCAGTTGCAATAATCTTTTGATGACAAAATTGTTTACCACTGTCTGCCACAACATCTTTATATGACTTCTTATGCAAATTCATTTTCTCCTTTAAATTGATGATACGTTTAGATCGTCTGTTAGCTACCGATTGTTTTACAGTAATCTCTTGTTTGTCATTATTGCCAAAGTCATCATCGATGACATCTGCGAGTTTAGCCAACGCCTGTCGATGAAAGTCATTATTTGATAACATCGTTAGGTTACCATTGATGTGACCATCAAATTGATTATCACTTTCCAAATCATTATAGTTATACGGCTTATCATTTCTATCAGAAACTGTGTCCATCTTGTCGTTCAAATTGGTCAACAGTTTAGACCGACTTTTAGATACCGATTGTTTCGCATTAATCTCTTTTTCGATATTATCGATGATATGAATCTCTTTCTTATGGCAACGGAGTAGTCGTTTAGTATTAAGCGATTGATTACAGTGTTTGTCATTTGAGACAAATTGCTGATCACTTGCATCTATCGTCTGCTGAAGTAATTGTTGACAACTATTTGACTCAATTTCTTTACACGACTTCCTATTGTTATCCAAAACTGTGTCCGTCCTGTTGTTAGCTACCGATCGTCTCGCAGTTATTTCTTGTTTGTTACCGTCGTAGTCATCGTCGGTAATATCTGATAGTGTGGCCAATGCTTGTCGTAATAGTAATTTCTGACCAATCGATATCTGTGTCGGCAATCGATGCCAGTCTTCGTCCATATTTATGGCCCGCAATGTGTTCACCGAATCGATACCATTTTCGACGAGAATGTCAATTGTTTGGGCAGTGATACCAACAAAACTAGACAAATATCGGTGATAATCGGTAGTCATGACCAGTAATAATGGGTTTTTTTTGTTGTTGAAAGTAATGATATATTAGTGAATATATTAAATAAAATAATTAATGATTTAAAAAAACATAACAAAAAAAATGTTTAATCCGTTAAAACATTGCATTAAAAACATCACATTTCAGTTGAAATTGTTTTTAAAAAAAAAATAATTAGTTTACAGTTTGTTGAATATATTATTAAAATATTATAAATTACTGTAAATTTATATATAATGTTGTATTTAATTTAATATAAAATAATTTTTTTTAAAACTATTAATATATACTAACTGTAAATAATAAGTAATTTTTATGTAAATTTTTACAATAATTTCAATAAACTCTTTTAATTAATGTTATCCGATCTATAATTAGTTGTTTTTTTTTGTAATTAAAACATTTTAATTATCATTTAAAGATAACAAATGTTTATTTTAAGCTAAAAATAACATTTTATTAAAATTCGTATAAATATATCTTAAATTATTATTATTATTTATGCAAAAATTTGTAATGTATTACTAATTAATGATCAAAAAAAAAACAAAAATTAAAACCTAAAGCTTTCAAAAYAATTATAAACAATAATAATGAAACTAATTTTAGTAATAATTTATTAACTTTTCAATTGTTTTCCAATAACTTAATTAATTGTTTTTGTAATTAAAAGATTTAATATTATATAAAGAAATACACAATATRTTTAATTMGTTTATTAATAAATTAATAGTAAAAAYTTATTTAGACTATAATTTTATAGTTTATGTTTACAGTATTTATTTYTATATAAAAAATACGACAAATACAATACAATAAAAATGTAAAAATCTGTWGAAAATTGAATAAGAGTTASAAAATAGTATAGAAAAAAATCATTAAAAATGAAAACAACTAAAGAAAATCTCAAATTAATTAAATCATTTTTTATGACAAATCATACTTTTTTTGCGTTTAAATGACTTATCGCAGTCATCGTAATTGCGAATGAAAATATTTCTGATGTCTTAGCATATTTTTTGCGTTTATATGATTGGTTGCAATCATCGTAATTGCAAACAAATGGTCGATCAGATGAGTGAACAGTATTCTGGTGTATATTCCTATTGGATTTGCATTTAAACGACTTATTACAGTCAACATAATTGCATACAAACTGTAGATCAGATAAATGATTGTATTTCTTGTGTTCAGTTAAATTTCGTTTGTGTTTATAAGTCTTATCGCAATCATTGTAATTGCAGACAAATGACCGATCAGTTGAATGAACAGAGTTTAGGTGTTTACGCAAATACTGTTTGGTTTTGAACGACTGRTTGCAGTCGTTGTAATTGCAGATAAATAGTCTGTCAGTCGAGTGAATATATTTTAGGTGATAAACAAAATAATCTTTGCGTTTAAACGATTTGTTGCAATCATCGTAATTGCAAACAAATGGMCGATCAGTGRAATGTATTTGTTTCTGGTGTTGGACTAAAATWTTTTTCATTTTGAATGATTGGTGACAGTCATCATAATTGCAAACAAATGGTCGATCGGATGAGTGAACAGTATTCTGGTGTATATTYCTATTGGATTTGCATTTAAACGACTTATTACAGTCAACATAATTGCATACAAACTGTAGATCAGATAAATGATTGTATTTCTTGTGTTCAGTTAAATTTCGTTTGTGTTTATAAGTCTWATTGCAATCATTGTAATTACAAACAAATGGCCGATCAGTCGAGTGACTCTCTTTCTTGTRTCGACGCAATACTCGTTTATCATTAAACAATTGATTACAGTCTTTGTTATTCATTACAATTGTSTCCATTTTCTTCTCTGAATTTATGATACGTTTAGAYCGWCTGTTAGCTACCGATTGTTTTGCAGTAATCTCTTGTTGGCCATCATTGTCAAAGTCATCGTTGGTAATATCTACGAGTTGTTTAGCCAACGCCTGTCGATGAAAGTCATCCTTTGATAACATTGTTAGATCACCATTGATGTGATCATCAAATTGATTATCACTTTTATAGTTATACGGCTTATCATTTCTATCAGAAACTGTGTCGATTATGTCGTTCAAATTGGTCAACAGTTTAGACCGACTTTTAGATACGAATTGTCTCCTATTAAACACTTTCTCGATATTATCGATGATATGAATCTCTTTCTTATGGAAACGGAGTACTCGTTTAGTATTAAGCGATTGATTACAGTGTTTGTCATTTGAGACAAATTGCTGATGATGTCGATGAAAGTCATTATTTGATAACATCGTTAGGTCACCATTGATGTGACCATCAAATTGATTATCACTTTTTAAATCATTATCGTTATACGACTTATCATTTATATCCAAAATTGTGTYCAATTTGTCGTWCAAATTGGTTAACAGTTTAGACCGACTGTTAGCTACCGATTGTTTTGCAGTAATCTCTTGTTGGCCATCATTGTCAAAGTCATTGTCGGTAATATCTACGAGTTGTTTAGCCAACGCCTGTTGATGAAAGTCATCATTTGATAACATWGTTAGATCACCATTGATGTGATCATYAAATTGATTATCACTTTCCAAATCATTATAGTTATACGGCTTATCATTTCTATCAGAAACTGTGTCCATCTTGTCGTTCAAATTGGTCAACAGTTTAGACCGACTTTTAGATACCGATTGTTTCGCATTAATCTCTTTTTCGATATTATCGATGATATGAATCTCTTTCTTATGGCAACGGAGTAGTCGTTTAGTATTAAGCGATTGATTACAGTGTTTGTCATTTGAGACAAATTGCTGATCACTTGCATCTATCGTCTGCTGAAGTAATTGTTGACAACTGTTTGACTCAATTTCTTTACACGACTTCCTATTGTTATCCAAAACTGTGTCCGTCTAGTTGTTAGCTACCGATCGTCTCGCAGTAATTTCTTGTTTGTTACCGTCGTAGTCATCGTCGATAATATCTGATAGTTTGGCCAATGCCTGTCGTAATAGCAATTTCTGACCAATAGATATCTGTTTCGGCAACAGATGCCAATCTTGGTCTATATTTATGGCCTGCAATGGCACAGAATCGATACCATTTTCGACGAGAATGTCAATTGTGTCGGTACTAATACTGACAAAACGAGACAAATATCGGCGACAATCAGTGGTTGACATGACCTGACCAGTGATATTGATAAAGAAATATTAATAAAATTTAGTACATTATTAATGATTAAAATAATAAAACTTAAAAACAATTACAAACTATAGTAATGAAATTTAACAACTTTTCCAATGTTTCAATTTTTTTTAAATATAATTGATTATCTAATAATTGATTTTATAATTAAAACATTTAATATAATTTAAAGATAATAGAAAAGTTTAATTATTTGTTTCTATTGCACTAAACATTACATTTCACTAGAAATTGTTATAGAAATACAGTTTGATTAATAAAATTAACATAAAATTATTTATTAAATTTTTACCTACAGTTTTCTATCATTATATGACATAAAAATATATTTAAAGATAATAAAAAGGTTTAATTTGTTAACATTAAGCTAAACATTGATTTTCACTAAAAATTGCAAAAAATACAGTTTGTTTTATATATTAAAAAAAATATTATAAATTTATTGTATAAATTACAGTAAAATGTTATTCAGTCTATACTATTATAATTCTAAATCAAAAAGAAATAAAGTTAATGAAAACAATAGATTTATAAAATTCAATTAATATTACAAAAAAAGACAAAAAAATACAGTATTGTTATGTTATACCAAAAGTGATGATCTGTTTAGCAAAAAAAACTGACACTTTATAGAGAATTATATTTATAATAATAAATGAATAATTTGTTTCATAAGCCAATTAATAATTAGTTAAAAAAATTCGGTGATAAACATTATAACAATTTGATATTAAATTTATTTTATAATCATCTAATGGTGCTGTAGTTTTGTAATAAAACTAAAATAAGATATCATATATTATTACTTAAAAATAAAAAAATCAAATTATAAGACAATCGGTGCGATAATTGTAAACATTTCGGATGACGACTACTCTTTAACTCTCGGTTGTCCACTATTTGTGAATCCGTTTCTGATGTATTGACAAATTTTGTTTGTATTTATATGACTTATTGCAGTTATCGTAATTGCAGACAAATGGCCCATCAATCGAATGAACACATTTCTTGTGTTGACGTAAATATTTTTTGATTTTAAACGCTTTGTCGCAGTTATCGTAATTACAGACAAATGTTAGACCAGTCGACAAATGAATATTTTTTATGTGTCGACGCATTAGATATTTTTGTTTAAACGACTTTTTGCAGTTCTTATAGTTGCAGACAAATGGCAGACTAGTCGAGTGTTTGACTTTATGTTGAATTAGTATAGATTTTGATCGTCCCTTGAAGTTGCAGTTATCGCAACCAAACGGTTTCATTGAATGTTTTTCGGCCAAATGTATGAGCAGTGATGTGTTACTAAAGAATCGTTTATTGCATTTATAACACTTGAATGGTTGACATTTCCTGTGCTGTCTATTCATATGAATTTCCAGTTTTGTCTGCCATYGAAAAAACATTTTTGTTTCGGATTCAAACAAATTTATACGACTAATAGTAGTSTYGTCGAYAGTATTTGATAAACTRATCGGCAATTTTAGTGGACTAATGACAACAACGGGTTTTGTTTTGAGTGCAAGTCTTTTCAATTCAAATTCATTATCAATTGATGTCACTGTTGTTTAGGTTTAGAAAAGACATTACATTTTCTTAACATAACAATTATGARATAATTTAATTTAAAAATTGATTACCAGTTTCTTCTACTTGAGTATCGCTAAACTGATTGTCAATATTATCGAAAATGTTGTCGAAGTAGCTGTCAATTCGATGATTCAAATTGACAAAAGATTTTCTGTCAGATACTGTWTGTCTGGAAGTTATTTCTTGTTTGTCACCATCGGTTATAACTGCGAGTTTGGCCAACGCYTGACGCAACAGTATTTTCTGTGCATTTGATATCTGCGGCGGTAAGCGATGCCAGTCTTTGTCCATATCGATGGCCAGCAATGCCTGTAACGTATCGAAACCACTTTCGACCAGAATGTCAATCGTKTCGGCACTGATACCGACAAATCGAGACAAATATCGGTGACAATCGGCTGACATGACCTGAATTRCAGTSATATTGAATACTGTAAAAAAAGTAATGATATATTACAGTATGAATTATATAATAAATGATTAAAWGCTTACAAAACAATTACAAATTATAGTAATTGAATCAAATTATTTAATAAACTAATCCAATGTTTTCCGATWAATTATTAACTAATCAATTGTTTTATTTTTTTGTGAGTAAAAACATTTGWTATCATTCAAAGACAATAAAAAAGTTTAATTAGTTTACTTAGCGCTAAGCATCGGATCTCACTTTTAAAAAATTGCTAAAAATACARTTTGTTTAGTAAATTAAAAATTGTTTATTAGTATAAACTTATTGTATAAATTACAGTCAAATGTTTTACGGTTTATATAATAATAATTATTATTATAAATTTTATAAAATAAAGTTATTAAAAAAACAATAGATTCAAAAAATTAAATTTTTATTAAATAAAATTATAAAAACCCGAACAAAATAAACAATAAAATGTGAAAAACTATAAAAAAAAATTTTAAATTAATTAATTGAATCAAATTGTTAAATTAAATATTTTTACAAAAATTTTATTACTACTATTTTTTAAATATAGTAATATATAGTATTAAATATATGTTTAGAAATCTATAATTATCTGTTTATTATTATTATAAATAATTGCAAAATTTAATTTTACCTAAACGTAAATTTATATGTTAAATAATATTATAATTATAATATTATTACCGGTAAGTTATACCAAAAGTGATTATATGTTTAGCAAAAAAAAAAATGACCGACACTTTTCTAGAGATTTATATTTGTAATGAATGAATGATAGMATTATTAACCTATTGATCATTAGTTAAACATAAAAACAATGTAATTATTTGATATAAAATTAATTATTATTTAAATTAAAAAATCAAATATAAGACATTCAATTAGATATAAATGCAAACATTTTGAATGACCATCACTTAAAAAACTAAGGCTTAACTATTTGGTGAATCAGTTTCTGGTGACCAATCAAATGCTTTTTACATTTGTACGTTTTGTCGCAGTCTTTGTAATTGCAGACAAATGGCCGATCAGATGTGTGAACATATTTCTGATGTTCTATTAGACGTTGTTTAAGTTTAAAGGATTTGTCACAGCCTTTGTAATTGCAAACAAATGGTCGATCGATAGAGTGAAGACACTTCTGGTGTTTAATTAGATTGCTTTTGGTTTTATAAGCTTTTTTGCAGTCATTGTAATTGCAGATAAATAATCTATGGGTCGAGTGAACGTATTTTAGGTGATAACCCAAATTCGATTTGGATTTGAACGACTTGTTGCAGTCATTGTAATGGCAAACAAATGGTCGATCAGTCGTATGGATCTGTTTCTGGTGTTCGACTAAAATGCTTTTCAATTTAAATGATTGATTGCAGTCATCATAATTGCATAGAAACGGTCGACCAGATGAGTGAATACATTTTTTGTGTTGAATTAAACTTTGTTTGTTTTTGTACTTCTTGTAACAGTCATCATAATTGCAAACAAATGGCCGTTTAGTCGAGTGAACCGTTTTCTTGTGTCGACGCATACTATTAATGGCTTTGAAAGATTTATTGCAATTATCATAATTGCAGATAAATCGGCCGTCATTTGTCTGAATCTTGTGTAGACATAACTGTTTACYACTGTTTACTTGAATRTCTTTATACGACTTTTTCCTATTGTCCTTCAAAACTGTGTCCATATTGTTGTCTAAATTGATAGACTGTTTAGACCGAGTGTTATAWACCGATTGTTTCGCATTMATCTCTTTTTCGATATTATCGATGATATGAATCTCTTTCTTATGGAAACGGAGTACTCGTCTAGTATTAAGCGATTGATTACAGTGTTTGTCATTTGAGACAAATTGCTGATCACTTGCATCTATCGTCTGCTGAAGTAATTGTTGACAACTGTTTGACTCAATTTCTTTACAYGACTTCCTATTGTWATCCAAAACTGTGTCCGTCTTRTTGTTAGCTACCGATCGTCTCGCAGTAATTTCTTGTTTGTTACCGTCGTAGTCATCGTCGGTAATATCTGATAGTGTGGCCAATGCATGTCGTAATAGTAATTTCTGACCAATGGATATCTGTGTCGGCAATCGATGCCAATCTTCGTCCATATTTATTGCCCTCAATGTGTGCACCGAATCGATACCATTTTCAACGAGAATATCAATTGTGTCGGAACTGATACCAACAAAACGTGACAAATATCGGTGACAATCGGTTGACATGACCTGACCAGTRATATTGATAAAGAAATTACAAAATTCAGTACATTATTAAWGATTAAAWWAATAAAACTTAAAAACAATTACAAACTATAGTWATRAAACAAATAATTTAACAACTTTTCCAATGTTTTTCGTTAATTGATTATCTAATCATTAGATTTTTTAATTAAAACATTAAAATATAATTTTTAAAAATAATGTTTAAGAAATGTTTAATTATTTGTTTCTATTGCTCTAAACATTAGAAATTGTTAAAGAAATACAGTTTTATTAATACATAAAATTGTTTAAAAATGTTTATTAATTTTATAGTTTAAGTTACAGTTTTGTATTAGTATTATATGACATAAAAATACATTTAAAGATAATACAGTAAAAAGGTTTACTTTTGCTTACAGTAAGTTAAACATTAAATATCATTAAAAATTGTAAAAAAAATTATTATTATTATTATAACTATTATTATTATTAAACWATTATTATACAAAAATTATTATAAATTTATTGTATAAATTACAGAATTACAKCAAAAAAATCGACACTTTGTAGAGAATTATATTTGTAATAATAAATGAATAATTTGCTTCAATTTTAGTCAATTGCTAATTAGTTAAACATTTGGTGATAATTATTATAACAATTTAATATCAATTTTTTATTTGATTATTTAATGGTGCTGTGGTTTTGTAGAAAAAAATAAGATATCAAATATTAATATTTAAATTTTAAAATATCAAATTATAAGTCAATCGGTTGCGATAACTGTAAACATTTGGATGACGACTATTTGAACTTTTTTTTAGGTCAACTATTTGTGAATTAGTTTCTGATGTTGAGATAAATATTTTTTKCATTTGTAAGACTTGTAGCAGTTATCGTAATTGCAGACAAATGGCCGATCAATCAAATGAACACATTTCWGGTGTCGAAGTAATAATTTATTCCATTTAAAGGCTTTGTCGCAGTTATCGTAATTGCAAACAAATGGTCGATTAGTCGACAAGTGAACGCATTTCATGTGTCGACGCATTGTATATCTTCGTTTAAACGACTTTTTGCAGTTCTTATAATTACAGACAAACGGCCGATCAGTCGAGTGTCTGGTTTTATGGCGATTAAGATTCTGTTTACAAGATGTCTTGTATTGACATTTGTTGCAATTAAACCATTGGATGCCATGAATTAGATTCAAATGATTGAGTAGAGACTCATTGGTGACAAAYCCGTYATCACATTCGCCACACTTGAATGGCTTCTTACAGTTCTTCTGACAGCTGCTKCTTATGTGTGTTTCGAGGCTAGTCTTCGACATAAAAAAGCGGTCGCATTGACCACATTTGAAACAATTGTTGTTMTGWTTAGTTGTTTTGACTTCAGACCAATTCGGATGACTATTGTCAACAGTCTTTGATACACTAATCGACAACTTTAKTGGACTTATGACTACAACGGGTTGTCTTTTCAATGCAAGACTTTTCAACTCCAATTCGCTATCAATTGATGTCACTGTTTGATTGTMAACAAATTATTACTTTTTCTTCATAATAAATATAAAATCATTATAAATCTGTTAAAAATTGATTACCACTGTCCTCCACATCAATATCATTAAACGACATCACATTGTTATCTGAAATGTTTTCAAACTCGTTGTCCGTCTGATTATTCAAATTGACAAAARATCTTCTGTCAGATACTGATATTTCTTKTTTGTCATCACTATATTCATCATCGGTTATAACCGKGAGTTTGGCCAACGCCTGACGCAACAGTATTTTCTGTGCATTTGATATCTGCGGCGGTAAGTGATGCCAGTCTTTGTCCATATCGATGGCCAGAAATGCATTCATCGTATCGAAACCACTTTTAATCATAATGTCAATCGTTTCGGCTCTGATACCGACAAATCGAGACAAATATCGGCGACAATCGGCTGACATGACCTGACAAGTGATAACGGATACAAAAAAAAGTAGTGATGTATTACAATAAGCATTACATAAACTCATAATAATTAAAGCTTACAAAAATAATTGCAAATTATAGTAATAAATCTAATTATTTATCAAACTATTGCCAATGTTTTCCGATATAACTAATCAATTATTTTTGCGATTAAAACAATTATAATATAATTTAAAGACAATAGAATTGTTTAATTCGTTTACTTAGAGCTAACCATCACTGAAATCATTGAAAAAATGCTAAAAATACAGTTTGTTTAATAATTTTAAAAAATATTTATTATGAATATATATTTAATTTATGAATTACATGTATAATGTTAACCAGTGTACTATACTTTAGATTAAAAATTTATAAATATTATTATTATATATTTTCTTGAAAAAATTTTTCAAAAACCGAAACAAACAAACAATAACAACTTAATAAATAAATAAATATATAATCAAAATTTAATTAACCAAACAAACTGTTAATTTAATTTTTTTTAAATTGCATTAATAATTTTTCTTAAAATCATATTTATATCAAATTATATTAATTGATGTTTTAATGGATTAATTCTCAGATTTTTGACTTTATTAATGTTATTTTTTCTAAAATGTAATATTATATGATATAAAATAACTGTTTTGAAAAGTTACTGAACCAACACAAGTGGTCAACAATTAATTACAATTATTCATTGATTTTGTCTGAATATGTGACCACCAGTCGGTTATTTGACTATCGGTGCACTCAAACACAATAGGATAGTCATAGTAGACACAGACATCTGAACACTGATCGGTCCAATGGATCAGTTGACTGTTAAAGCGGTCGATGCCAGCCGTTTGGGCTGACAATATACCGGTAATAAACAGGTCTTCGTGATCGAGTACAGGACCGGTATATATGTCTAACTGGTGTTCCAGTCTATCGGTACAGTCTTTCATCAGATATCCCCCACCTGTTGTAAAATTTGGATAATATTCACCACTGATATACTTATAGGGCATATAGTGTCTATGGTATTGGTCGCGATTGATCCGCGACTTGAACTGTAAGTATCCATTAATACCTGTTTTTATAATAACAACAGAAAAAATTTAGTTATATTCAATTTATAATATATTATCAATTTTTTTTATTACTATTATAAAATATATATTATTGTATTTTTTATGTCATAAAATATGACTAATAATTATAGCATTATATCATTATTTTGTTTGATTATCTCAGTTTTTTAATATATATATACTATATATACTAATATATTACTACAGTAATTATATACAGTATTAATGATGTACTAATGATATATTATATTACTAAATTATTACTATTTTAATATTTAGATTTTTGCAAATAAAATGATAACAATGCTGTAAAATAGTTTCTATATAAAAAAATAAGATAATAGTATTTTATTGTAAAAGTTGTAAAATAATTAATTTTGTGTAAAATCAATTCAAATTCTCTACGAAAATAATTACATAGTAATTGAATTTAGTTTTTTTTAATAAACTACACTTTTATCGTGAAAAATATTTATATGTAGTAATATATGTATATATCAGGACTAAGTAAGGGGGGAAGGTAGGGGGCAAGCCAAACGACCCCCTCCTAAGATCGAGATTTTGAGATATATTTTTTATAAATAATTTTTTAATTAGTAGTAATTTAATTTTCTATTTATTATTTTGTTTAAAAAAATCTAATAACTAATTAAAATTTCTATTAGCTAATCAATATCTGGCATTTAATTGTATAGGATTTAAATATATATTGCAATAATAATTACAGTAGTTTTAGTCTCCCTGAGCCTGTCTGCTGATGATACTCGGGGTGTCATAAAATATAGTACAGTAGACGTTAAAAAACAACAATTTATTATAACAAAGCTAGCATTGGTAGCTAAAATAAATTTCATATTTTTTTATATATAACTTATATCTGTAAGTTACCTTGTTTAAATTGATGTAAATTATTTAACAATAGTCTAACATTGATTACAGTGTCGTCGTCTACTTTCAATACGTGTCGGCGCACTGTCGGTGAACACATTTTATTAGCCCATCTAATCAATGCAATGGTTTTGAGTGTACCATTGAAATAGTTGTCGACAAACAAAAACTGTAGTATATCTCGGTTACGGTTGGCTTCGGCAGCTAATTGCTGATTGACCAGCAATTGGTCACTCATACCCAACACAAAATATACACAAATACCCTCTTGTTTGGCCTTATCGACCCATGTATGGCGTAGTGTTTGACGATTATCATAATATTGACCACTGCTAACCGCTGCCGAGTGTATAAATATTACTATCGATTGTCGACAGTGCCGGCAGTTGATCCGGTCGGTCAGTTTTGATGTTGTTTGTTTGGTTAGTTTCAATTCACTTTGGGTATTGATAATCTTGCGCACAAGTATGTTGTATTTGGGTTTCGTAATTAAACTTTTCATCCATATTATAGCAATTACTAAAACAATTAATATAAATACATATTTAAATAATTTGATTATATTTCTATTGCTAATTAACATAATAGTTATTATTTTATTTAATATTAAAATAAATACTAAATTATTATAATTTACTACATTTAATTAGTAGTAATTGTAATAAATAGTAGAAACTTATTAATTATACAGTTATATTTTTTTAGATAAGTCAGAATAATAGCACAACATTTTTATTATAAATTATAGTAATAACTATAATAATAATTAAATAATATTTTTTGCTATTTTTAATGTCAAGTAAATATGAGTGTAATAATAAATACTATAATGATAATAATAATAAGTAATAGTAGTATTAGTCATAGTAGTAGTTTAGTTACTTTTATTATTATCATCAGTTGCCAACAATTTAATATTTTTTTTAAATTAGTTGCTTAGTTAGTGCTAATAGTAGTAATATATTATTATTATATTATATTGATATATTCAATACATTATGATATACTAGGGGGGTGGGTGGGTTAACTGACAAAAATCACGAAAAATCCTGGGGGGGGGGTACTGGGGGTGTTGACTTTTATTGCATTTTTAAACTGGAATTTGTTCAAAATTTGAAAATCAAGGGAGATCATGTGTAAATTCCTTAAAAATTCCCAAAGTTCCCGAAAATTCCTATGTAAAAATGAGGAAATTACCTCGAAAATGTAATATGCTAATAAAATACATTGAATAAAAACTATAAATTAATTTGAATTAAATTTAGGAAAGTTTTTATAAATCAAATTAAAAAATTATAATTTTACAATTTAGTTGTTACAAAATATCGGTGACATAAAATATTTTTTTAAAAATCAAACTTAAATAACAATTACAAATTATAATGTTGTATCAAATAATTAATCAGTTTTTTAAATACTGTAATTTTCCTATAATTTATTAACTAATAAATCGTTTTCTTTTAATTATTATTTTTTTTAATTTAATATTATTTAAAGACAATAGAAATGTTAAATTTGGTTAAATTGAGATAAACATCACATTTCACTAGAAATTGTTATAAAAATACAGTTTAAACTATTATTTTTTAATTTATTATAAAATATGACAGTAAATAAAAGTTATATACAGTTTTAATGAAAACTTTGGCAATTATTATCTAATTGTTTTTTATTATTAAAACATTTAAAATCATATATAAAAACCAAACAAACAAATAAATCAATTATTTCTAAAAAAATATTATCTTTTAAATTTAAAAATCAAATTATAAATCAAATCATTTGCAATAAATGCAAACATTTGGACAATCAGTTTTCAAACCGTTACTCAACTATTTGGTGAATCCGTTTTTTGTGTCCAATTAGCAATTGTTTGTATTTGTAAGACTTGAAGCAATTATCATAATTGCAAACAAATGGTCTGTCAGTCGAGTGAACGTATTTTAGGTGATAATTCATATAATATTTGTTTTTGAAAGACTTGTTACAGTTATCATAATTGCAGTCTAATTGTTGAACAGACAAATGCATCCATTTCTGGTGATAAACTAAACTTTTTTTCAATTTAAACGATTTATTGCAATCGTCGTAATTGCAGACAAATGGCCGATCAAAACTGTGAACAGAATTCTTATGTCTAATCAAATCATGTTTGCGTTTGAAAGACTTGTCGCACTTATCGTAATTGCAAACAAATGAGTGTTTAGTTGTTGAGTGAATCTCTTTCTTGTGTCGACACAAATAATCGATGGTTTTTAAAGATTTATTGCAGTTTTTTATGATTGCAAACAAATGGTCCATCAGACTAGTGGATCCGTTTCAGATGATGGGCTAAAGTTGTTTTCCATTTAAATGACTTTTTGCAGTGAAAACAATTCTGGTGTTCAATCATATCATCTTTGCGTTTGAAAGACTTATCGCACTTATCGTAATTGCAAACAAATGGCCGTTTAGTTGAGTGAATCTGTTTCTTGTGTCGACGCAAATACTCTATGGTTTTTGAAAGATTTATTGCAGTTTTCGTAATTGCAATAAAGTCGCCGATCAGTTGACTGATTTCTCTGCACACAACTGTTTACTTGAATATCTTTAGACGACTTTTTTTCTATTAGTATCCAAAACTGTGTCCATTTTGTCGGCCAAATTGATGCACAGTTTAGACCGAGTGTTATATATCAATGGTTTTGCAGTAATCACTAGCAGTTCGTCATCATTGCCAAAGTCATCGTCAGTGATGATATCAATCATTTTTTATGTGTCGACTCAGTAATCGTTTATTATTAAACAATTGATTACAGTTTTTGTTATTTGAAACAAATGGTCTCCGAATGACCAAAAATGACTCTTCTTTTGTTTATTGTCTTCATTTTGACGATTATGTAATTTTTATCTTTAAACTCGTTTATCAACTAATCTTTATTTATTAGATATATTTTTTTTAATCTAAATATTTTTTTTCAGAGTCAGACATAATTTTTTTTATAAATTAAATTTTAACGCAATATAAATTTTGACGTAATTATTTACATCACAAAAAGAGCAAATATAAATTWTAAATWAATTATTTATAAATATAAATTTAAAAAAATAGCAATATTAATGATGACTCAATATATATATATATGTTCAACGAATAAAAAATAATCAATAAATATTAAATGACTTTAGTATAGTATGATTTTTTTACAAAAGTTACATTTTGGTGTTACCAAGTGTTAAAAATTTTATTTATTTTTAAATTCTAAAAAATTACCATGTTGCCAAAAATCTAAATRWCTRAAAATATTATTTTTTWTTGTATACTATATGCTCAGCTAATATTAAGATTATAAATTAGTTTTTGGCTAAGTTATAAACAATTTTCAATTTTTTTGGTTTATTAAAAAGTAGGTTTATCGGATATTTACCTTATTTTCAAATAAGTTACAGTTGTCATTGTTATATTTWTTACTCTATATTAGTATATAACTAAACTTTTTCAGTTTTTTTTGAAAATATTAAATATCATTATTTAATATTTAAAATAAAAATCATAATATACATGTATATTTTATTTTTAGTCAAATATTTAACTAGAAATAAAAATTGAAATGTATAACAAAAAATTAAAAGTAATTTATTTTTTTAAAAAATTAATTTGAAATAATATACATATATATGTAACGGGCCTGACTTTTATGACCAGTTACAAGGAACTGTAGCTCAGTCACTCAGCTCAACTCAGGTACTCAGGGATCGAATTCAGACAGTATGTCTGGTCCGATAGTATTGCAGTTCTCGTAATCACCCTTTCAATGTCACGGTCCTCTGTCTTTACTTCAATTGCCTGCCGACATCCCTCATACCTCACACTTAAAACAAACTTTCACTCAATGCACACTTCAATTGATGATTAAATATATTTATTAATTATTATATTAATTACATATTAGTTACAAAAATAGAAGTATTATTTAAATTGAATGTTTCATTTGCCTTAATAATGATTGACAAGTCTATCGACTGCTTTCTTCAAGCGTAGGCAAAGGAGTGAAAATTATTATAGAAATTACTTAAAATTACAAATTATTAAAATAGGAAATAACTGAATATTGAGTAATTTATGGAAACTTTCGATAGATTTATCAATATTTCTCTCTCTCTCACATGACTATCGATTGACATTGAATTTCTAATCTATTAATAATATAAAGTTTGAATTATGAATGTATGAAATATCTATAAAAATCTAATAATTATATTCAAATTATTCATTATAAAAGTTGAGGATTTTAGGCCCCTTACATATATATCTTGCAATAAATTACAACATAATGACTCAGTATTAAAAAATAAATTCAACTATAGTCAYGTGGGGTATCAAATTTTATGTCKTCAAAGTTTTTTCTGGTAATGCTTTCTAGCATTCTCAACTGGTTTTATAYTGTTAATTACATTGCACTTTAATAAGCATTAATTACTAACAGTAAATAATTAACAGTAAATAATTAACAGTAAATAATTAACAGTAAAATTGAATTATAAAATTTTTTAAATTACGTTTTAAGTATTTTAACAATATTAGATAAAACAATATATTGATACTTGTATATTGTTAATATTATTTTATTAAATTTTTTAAAATTATAATATATATATAATATATTTTCAAAAATGTTTATTAAAATTATTAATTTTATAGTATTAATTGTATTTATATTAAATTTATTTAATGTTCAATTAATTCAATGCAACGATAAAATTAATTTATTAATTTGGAAAAATCATGATATTATACGACAATTATTTTCTCAGTTCAATAAAACTGATAGTTTAAGTCAACAATGCAAACAAGTGGCCAACTATTTGGATAATAATCATAACTCTRTTGAACTAATAAAATGTATGAATTTTTTATTATTATTATTATTKTTAKTATTATTATTAKTATTATTATTATTATTATTATTATTGTTAKTATTATTATTAGTATTATTATTATTATTTAATATATTATATATATRTATATAAATGATTTAATAATGATAATTTCAAAAATTATTTGTTTTATTGTTGTTGTTGTTATCAATATTTTATTAACAAATTAATAATAATTAACTTAATTTAATTTAATTAATAAAAATTTRAATTCAATAAGTGATTGATTCGAGTGCAGTCATCGGCACCGGTATTATGAGAGGTAACTATCAGTTTATGGGCCAATACAGTGAATGTTTGGATTTGAGATCAGAAATTAYATTAGATAATCAATTATYAAAATTTAATGGTCAATATTGTACACTAAATATGCCGATARACTATTTTAYAAAAGTAAACAATATGACGGTTAGTAAAAAAATTAATTWACTTTAATGTTATTTTTTTTGTAAATATGTTAAAATATTTTAAATTAAAAAAAATTATATATATATTATATCTATTTTCAAACAAACTTTAAAAGGTTTGTTTTATGGATTCTATATGTTTGTGTGTGTGTGTGTGTGTGTGTGTGTCTGTGTGTTGGTTTTCAAAGTGCGAATTTTAAAATTTTGATTTCAGATTTAGATTCTCCATCAAAAATAAGGTATAGAAGATCAGCATTGAAATTTTGATATCTCTTCAGGAACATAGAGAAAATGGCGGCCAAAGTACAAAAAATTATGTTATCAGATTTAATAAGCTTAGATAATCTTAAAAATTAAAAATATTATGATTCTATATAAAATTTTATTTTATATATACATAAAAATGGCTGCTAATATACAAAATTTATTAAATTAAAAAAATAGTATATTATTTACTACTATAGAATACAAATTTAAATTTAAACAAAAATAATGCACTTTTATATAGTAATATATAGTAATACATAGTAATATATAGTAATATATAGTAATATATAGTAATATATAGTAATATATAGTAATATATAGTAATATATAGTAATATATAGTAATATATAGTAATATATAGTAATATATAGTAATATATAGTAATATATAGTAATATATAGTAATATATAGTAATATATAGTAATATATAGTAATATATAGTAATATATAGTAATATATAGTAATATATAGTAATATATAGTAATATATAGTAATATATAGTAATATATAGTAATATATAGTAATATATAGTAATATATAGTAATATATAGTAATATATAGTAATATATAGTAATATATAGTAACATATAGTACTATAATACATAGTAATAAATGGTAATATATATACATACAATACATACAATACATACAATACATACAATACATACAATACATACAATACATACAATACATACAATACATACAATACATACAATACATACAATGCTTACAGTACTTACAATACTTACAATACTTACAATACTTACAATACTTACAATACTTACAATACATACAATCAACATTAATAATTGCGTTAACATTAATATTGCGTCAACATTAATATTACGTCAACATTTAATAATTGCGTTAACATTAATAATTGCGTCAACATTAATAATTGCGTTAACATTAATATTACGTTAACATTTAATAATTTTAAATAAAGTGAAATTATTATTTCAAGTCTCAGTTCAAGTCGAGCCATCGAAGGGAATGTACTATCGTACTATGTACGTAATATTTATTTTTAACTAATCATATTACAGATTATTGTATTATATATTAATTGAATATTAAAATTCAAGTCATATTTAAGATCAAGACATTTATGATTATTTGAATAAAATGTCTACTATTAATATGTGCAACATTTGTCAATTGAATGTCGAACTTATTCAATTTGCTCTAATGGAAAACCTTGTATTCACCGCTTTTGTCCTTCATGTTTGATGTCACTTATAAAGACTGCATTCGATCAATTTAAAGATCTCAACTGTGCATATTGTCGTAATTTATGGATGAATAAAAACGAACTTAATTTTGGAGTAAAAGCACATCTTCTTCAACATCCTAATTACTTTGATATTCTTGAAATTAATGTAAACAATAACTATAATATAGATAATCAAAATATTATGATAAATGATCAAATCGTGTCTTCAGAAATTATTTTTATTGAAGAAATAATTACAATTATTGACTATGAAATTATAACTATTGATTAAATAATTTGTATAAATTTCATTAAAAGGAAATTAATTAAATAAAAATATTTTTGAAAAAATTAATTTGAATAATATTTTCTTTATTTATGTGATTACCTTTTTGTTGCGTCAACATTTTATTGTGTTATAAAGTAGTAATTGTAAGTCAAGTCATTTAAAATCTGTCATTTTAAGGCGAGCTATCGGAGAGAACAGTCGTAATTAGAATAAATTATTTATAAATCTAAATTAGTTATCTTTATTCATAATAAATATAAATATTAATATAAAATAATTACTTTATTTATGTGATTGCCTTTTTGTAACATCAATATTATTATTGAGTCAACATTATTACGTCAACAGTTTATTGTAATATAAAGTAATAATTATAAGTCAAGTCATTTGAAGTCGAGCTATCGGAAAGAACAGTCGTAACTATTATAAATTATTTATAAATTTAAATATGTTATGTTTATTCCTAATTGATATAAATATTATTTTCTTTATTTATGTGATTACCTTTTTGTTGCGTCAACATTTTATTGTGATATAAAGAAGATATTGTAAGTCAAGTCATTTGAAGTCGAGCTATCGGACAGAACAGTCGTAAGTAATATTATAATTTAAAAACGTCTTAATTTTATATAATTATTATTTTTAATTATTTAAT